CTTACCTCAAAAAAGCTGGATGGCTCAGTCAGGAAAAAAAAAAAAAACATCAAAAGCAGGCAATTTTGGAATAATACTAATCAAAGTACACATAAAGATTATTAGAAATGCAGTGTTCTTTTTTGGCAAAAGCAAATAAAAATAATGCTAACGGCAAATTCTATGTGACAGCATTTGAATTCCTGGACTACCTGATTTTAAATCCCAGCATAGCCAATTACTGGCTGTGTGTTCTTGGGCAAGTTATTTCTCTGAGCGTTACGTTCCCCATGTGCAGAATGGGGATAGTAGTGTCACCTACTTTATACAGGTGCTATGAGGATTAACTGTTATCCATGTGAGGTGCTTAGAACAGAACCTGACTAGAACCCAGTGAAAAGCAAGTGTTTTTTACTTTATGAGAAAAACAGTGAAGTGCCAATATTATTAACAGGGCCTACCTGTTTTAATATAAACAGTTTTGGTAGATATAAAAGTATATGTTTACTGAGTACCATAGAAAATGCTGAAAACCCAGATGCTGCGACTGAGGGACTCAGCCTCACTGGGGGAAGCAAGATGTGTGTAGTAGAGAGCTAGCTAGGGTAGCGAGCAGTTCAGTGACAGCTTGGACAGGACGGATGCTATAGACGTGCCAGAGGGATTTAAGTGTATAACCATTGCAGTGTGCAGATGTTTTTCGGTTCATGCAGGGAGACACCTGGAGAGCTAATGAAAAGAAATTTTCAGTATGTTAGGACAAAGAGAAAGTAATAAGGATTTGCCCAACGTTAAACTAAATGTTGAGAGGCTGGAAAGAGGATTCAGATGTTTGGCCTTTACTTTTCTATAGAAGTTCTTGTCTCTGCACACCAGCTTCTAGGCAGGTCAGTGGCTTCAGAAGCTGGAGATTGGGAGAAGGTATTCATACAGTGAAAAAGCTACTGATGAGGTCAGCTATTCTCGGTGTTAGACATGCAAATTCTCAGGCTTCACTCTAGACCTGAAATTTAAGGGAGGGGCCAAGTAATCTGTAGTTTAGCAAACCTTCCAGGTGATTTAGCTGCACATTTCAGTTTGAGCCAGTGGCCTAGATTATACAAAGGAAGAACATGAAATAACAATTGATGATATTAGCTGAAACCATGTCATGTACTGTGCTAAGCACTTTACCTACAGCATGTCAGTCGAACCTTATAACATCTCTGAGGGTAAGTACTGTTTTTATCCCAATTTTCAGATGAAGAAATGGAAACAAATAAGTTTATTTACCTGTCCAAAGTCATATCTAGTAAATAGCAGAGCCGAAAGGGTCTGACTGTTCATCTCTGTGAAATAGCATTTGATTGCTTACAAGTGGAAAGGAAACCAGTAGGAAGTCTGTTGAACTAAATTGCTGGGGTGGCTATTTATATTTGATGAGTTGGTTGCAGCCAAGGGAATCTTCCAGTCAGTCAGTTAAGGGACCTCTATGCAAATTGACTGTGTTCATTTGTTTTTTGAAAGTAACTTCAAGTACCAGGATATTACTGACCTTCAGAAAAAGAAAGTTCTGGTGTTCCAAGGAATTAAAATCAGACTTCTGGGATCTAAACTATATGTGTATATATTTGCATTGGAAGCCTTAATTTTCTTGTCACAGCACTAAATATTGTTGAGATTTGGATTTCTGGTAATGAGATATTGACTCCATAAAGGTGAAACCACGTTCCCTCTGTTCCCTGAGTTTCTGTAATTGAAGGTTAGCTAGTGCAGCAGAGAACTCATTCTCCATATTCATTAGGCACTGCATCCTCGAGTTTTACATCCTGAATGTTTCTCGGTGCCATGTCTCTTCTTCTCCTTTCCCTCTGCGTCTATTCCATTGCAGATCTTCATTCTTTCCTTTGGACTTTGCATTCTGTCCTGGGCCTCCCCATTCTCCAGTCTGGCCATGACCAGAGTGCATCTTCTAACACATCAGTCTGATTCTCTCTCTCTCTCTCTTTCATCAAGAAGCTCCTGAAAGCACTCCTGTGCTAAGCCCATTAAGTGGATGATCTGAATTAATCTTCACTGCAACCCTGTGTAATAGTAAAAAGCACTGTTATCCCCCTGTCAAAGATGAGTTAAAGGGAGTTGTGTGACATAGCCAGCTCAGCTTTTCGTTACTCTGCTGGCTGCCTTTCCCTTTGTTGCCTGTGTGGATGACTCTTGGTAGCTGTATTAGTTTGTTAGGGCTGCTGTAACAAATTACCACAAATTGAGTGTCGTAGAGCAATAGAAATCTGTTGTCTTGCAGTTCTAAAGCCTAGAAGTTTGAAGTCAAGGTTTTGGCATGCTTCCTCTGAAACCTGCAGTGAAAGGCGACATCTTTTTCTCCTTCTGGCTTCTGTGGTTTGCGGTCATGTTTGCCATTCCATGGCTTATAGATGCCTCCCTCCAGTCCTTTATCCTCATGTGGCCATGCATATCTCTGTGTCAACATTTTCACCTTTTCTGAGGACACCAGCTATGGCATCCTTATAAAAGTACTAGGGCCCACCCTAATGTCCTCATTTAACTTGATTACCCATGTAAAGACACTATTTCCAAATAAAACCACCTTCAGAGGTATTAGCACTTCAACATATCTTTTTTGGGGGACCCAATTCAACTCATTAAAATAGGTCTCTTCTATGAATAGTGACAACCCAGAATGATGCAGCCAGCATTAACTTGGGCAATTAGATTTTTGCTTTTTAAAATTGAAAGAAATTAATTATAGGTATGTTGTCAGCTCGGAAGAAGGAATAGGTTTTGCTTATAGTTATTCTCTTAGGATAACAAGGATGGAGGAGGAGGCACAGGAAGGCAGGGAATGTCTTTCCTTTGTCAGGCTGTGATGTGGTTGCTCCGTGGACAGCTGACCCCTCTTATTTGATAACCAGGAGGGACTGCAGCAAGCTCTTCCTCCTTGTGTGTGGGTAGAAGCATTTCTTTGAAGCAGACAGCTCCCCCATCTCTAGAGTCCTGTGGGCTTCATCCTGCCCCCTAAGGAGTGAACTTTCACTTCCCACTTTGTATAGTTCAAAGGTTCATATAATGTGGGGGTGGGGGAGAGAAAAGGTGCTGTGAGGGGAGAAGCAAGGCGGAAGTGGGTCAAAAATAGCAGTATCTAAGGAGTCATTTCCCATAGAAAAATGGACAATCCAGGCAGGAGACCAAAGGAGGTGAAAAACAGTAAATATTAGTAACTCTCTGCCTTTGGGCAGCACTTGTGGCTATGCCCAGGTGGCATCTTAGCGAGCTGTTTGAGAATATTTAATTACCCTGAGCAAGAGAGGCTCTGTTTAAGAGAAGGATAAATCAGAGTTAATAGGAGGAACGACCTTGGAATTAGCTGCTTATCTTCTGCGTTATTCTCAAGTTGGGGGTGGTAGTGTACCTTGGAAAAGCACTGGGGTAGGGCATTCACAGACAGCAGGGAGGGCCGAGATAAGAAGAGGGAAGATAATTTTCATGGTGAATGCTGGGACTAGGTTTGGCAGAGGCGCCCCTTCTCGTCTATAGTTGGTGTCATTTAGAAGGAAAGGTATGGGTCTTCCTCTCAAAAAAGTATTTTGTATTGAGTGAGCCCAAAGCCTTTGGCTGCCTTTGAAGAAAAGCATTCATTATCAGTCTCCAGTGGCTCGATGGGGTTTAACGCTTATTCACTGATTTATGTTAAGGGTCGATATATGGTGCCAGTAGATAGCTTTATAGCCAGAGGACCCAGCAATGCCCGCTCTCCCACCACTCATGAGAGTCTAAGGGGATAGACTGGCTGGGGACAATGGCAATGGGAAGTTAAGGGCTATATTGTCATAATCTGGGTTTTATCTTCACAGTGCCCAGCTCTTTGATTAAACTGGGCTGGCCTGCCTGCTGAGCTTAGGTCTAGTGCTGTATACCTTTGTGCTTAGCATTCCTGCTGCAAACAAGGCAGAGTAGGGGGAGGGTGGGCGGGAAGAGATTCCTTGGCATCACATATTAGGGCTGCCACTCAGAAAAGGAGAGCTAGGTGAAAATAAGTGGGATGGGATTGTGTTTAATAAGTAAAGGTATGTTCATTTAGGGACTGAAAAATCTAAAGACAATAATGTAAAATAAAGCAAATGTGTCTTGGTATAATGTGGTACGGCAGGTCAGGGACGTCAGAGTGGACCCCTCAGACAATGTGTGTCAGCTTTGAGAAGCTGAAGTGAATGGGATATCTGTGGAGCTGAGCTTGTGACAGAGGTGAGGCGCTGGCCTTTCCTAAATCTTGTTCGGGCTTTTATTATAAACCTTTCTTCAGGTTGAAGTTTGGAACTGAGGGAAGATGTGTAGAACTTGAGAAGGGGCCAGGAAAGCATAACAACAGTGAGGTTTAGATGTAAACTCTGAGAGGAAGGACCACAGGAACGTTGTTTATTTAGTTTGGAGAAATTGAGGGCTGGCAGGGGCTCAGGGTGGGGACATTAATAGTTTTTAAGTATATGAAGGCATGTGGTGAGCATTGTGGTGAACAGATGTTTTCACCATTCACTAAAGACAAGGCTAAACAATGAAACGGGCTTACCTTTTAGCCTGAGGGATTTAATTGAGAATTTAGGGAAACCACCATAAGTGAAAATGTGGGAACATGGAAAGATTTTACTGAAGGAATCCATAGTGTTTTCTTTTGAGTAGTTGTGGGGAAAGCACAGAAACACACTTCAGTTGAAGTGTAATCTGGGTGATTTTCTTTGATTTGACTTTGTTTGTTAGACTGCAGACTCGGGACACCCCACTTCCTTTTCTCCCTTCATCTTCTGTGTGATAACCTGATACTACAAATGCACTTTTAGGAAACTGAGTCAGAACTCTGGTCTTTGGTTTCTGAGGAAATGATATTCTCAGGAGGTGGTAAGGCTCACAGGGCAAGGGCACAGGGGTTGGTGCCAAAGAGACCTGGTTTCAAGTTCTGGCTGCCACTTGCTGTGTGTTTTGGGGCAAGTTCTTAGCCTCTCTGAACCTGCTTCCTCATTATTAAAATGGGGATAACTGGAGTGCTTAGGTCATGGAATGTTGTGGGTATTCACTCAGACAGGGCATGGAAGGGCATAGTGCCTGGCACACAAGTGGTGCTCTTTAAATGTCAGCCATTATTATTCTTTATTTTAGACTTTAAACCAGTGTTGGGAGCTCAGCTACAGCTACATAATACCTCTTTGCAACCCGGTTATGTGACCTTTGCCTTTCTTCCTTCATTACAGCTGTTGGCCTTCCTGCAAGGACTCTTCACTTTCTATCACCATGGTTATGAACTGGCCAAGGATTTCGGCGACTTCAAGACACAGTTAACCATTAGCATACAGAACGTGAGTGGGCATAGGGACAGGCTTCCTTTATCAGGTTAAGGAAAAAACGAAGTATGGGCCTGATTGCCCATAGAAACCATCCATGTGAATTGGAACGTAGGTGAGGATGGGTCTTGCTTAGGTTCAGAGGGAAACTAGGGGCAGGTGTTTCTAGAGTGCTTGGTGGTTCTGAGTTAGACCATCATCCTCGTCTCCATTATTTCAAAGCCCTATTTATGTTCTCGGAAGTCCTGCTTCTGATTATGTTTCAAATCTGTAGCATCAGAGTCAGGATTTCCTTTGGCAGTGGGAATCCCAGCCCAGCCCAGCCTCCATTCTATGCATCTAGCTGCCTGGCTACATGAGACCGTGTGGAGTGTGTGTTCTGGGGATGGGGATGAAGATGGAGGTGGGGAACATATGCTGGCCTCCAGCTCAAAGGATGTGCTGTTGTCCAACTCTTAGGAAAGCTGGCAGGAAATCCAAGTCAGTGTGCTTCACTCCCAGTGTGGTCAGCATTCCCAGTTTTAAACACAGGACCTTTTGGTGCACAGGATCCTGTGTAGGGCTTTTTGGTGAGCAGTTACTGGGGTTCAAGCCCACTTTTTCACTGTGGGATTGGACCATGTTATTCTTCATGTTTTCTTTGTCTCTAGGTGATCTTGTGTCCATGTGGGTTGTACTGCATGGCTTTTAGAAGCCTGGAGCTTACATAGTAGTCTGTGTTGTCTCAGAGAATAGGAAGTTGTAAAATCTTGGAAAAGGTTTCACAAAGCATGGTTTCCCCTTAGGCCGGGTTCCTCAGAATGCAGGCTCTGAAATCAAGGTTGACATGCAGCGGGCTTGCTGGAGGTGGGGGCAGTGCTGGTGAAAACACCTGTGAGAGAGTGAGGGTACCTGGACTCGCAGAGGGGGGAAAGAGAACTGTGAAGCAGATGCAGCAGACATCCAGTGCTGGGGGCGGGGGCTCTGGAGCTGGGATGATCCTTCATAGTCGCCCTGAATATAAGCAAGGGGGCCCGGCTCTCGACCCCTTCTGCCTTTCCCCCGGCCTTGACTAGTCTTTGGGTGCAGGCCGGCCTTGAGTGAGGGAACTTCCTTTTAAGGAAGTACTCATCTGTGAGCCATCAGCAAGTAACATTCACGGCAGCTAGAGAAATGAATGCCTAGGTCCTTAAGTCATACAGGACCCTAGAGCATCTGAATCAGAATCACCTGGGTTGCTTATTGTAAAACATGCTTTTTGATGTCCAGAAGTCCTGAATTGATCTGTAGGAGTGAGGGCTGGGCATTTGCATTTTCTATAGATCCCTAAGTGATTTTGATGGTCACTAGAATTTGAGAGTCATTCTGGTATAGGACTTTAAGGCCAAAGTATACTTCTGATAAGTGAGTATTTGGCCAGTTCCTAGGGGGTTGAGTGTCCTTTATCTTGTTTTAGATCTAAGGATTCTATTAGGTTGATCTTCTGGATTGTTAAAATAGATACTTCATTTCTTTGATTTGAATAAAATTCCTTTCATCCTAGACAAGAAATCGCTTTGAAGGCACTAGATCAGAAGTGGAATCACTGATGAAAAAGATGAAGGAGAATCCCCTTGAGCACAAGACCATCAGTCCCTACACCATGGAGGGATATCTCTACGTGCAGGAGAAACGTGAGTGCTTTGACTAGCAACAGCTTGGGATGTACTCAAGCCTCTTACTTAGAAGTTGGAGGGTGTATCCAGCAGTGCCTGCCTTACTGTGAATAAATTCTTGAATAAACAAGAACAGTTTTATAGTTCATCTTTCCAAAGGGAAAGATGATGTCCACAGAATCTTATCTACCTTTGTTTTTCTTTGTGACTGTGAATTTCCTTGGGAACCTGCAATTTCTTGAGGCTCTGTGGTTGCTTTTCTCTTTCTAGTGTTATTCTACTCTTGAGGATCCTGTTCCCCTAGTACAGCTTTATATACCATACCCTGAGCATAGTGGCCTTGGAATGGTCTTCCATGCTAGGCCCCTGTTGTCTATCAGTGGTGTATCTTTTGGTAGACTTAATACTTGGTGATTCTGTTGTCATTTGACATTGTTTCAGCAAGGCCCAAACAATCATGCCTTAGCCCTTTCTCTCTTCTCCTCAACTCCTTTCATCCTAACACTTGAATTTTATGAAAAGTATAAACAAAGGCTCACTTGAAGGGACAGGAAGAAGGCTGGATATGATGGCTCATGCCTGTAATCCCAGCACTTTGGGAGTCTGAGGTGGGGAAATCACTTGAACTCAGGAGTTGAAGACCAGCCTGGGCAACATGGTAAAACTCTGTCTCTAAAAAAATACAGGCCGGGCGCGGTGGCTTAAGCCTGTAATCCCAGCACTTTGGGAGGCCGAGGCGGGTGGATCACGAGGTCGAGAGATTGAGACCATCCTGGTCAACATGGTGAAACCCCATCTCTACTAAAACTACAAAAAATTAGCTGGGCATGGTGGCGCGTGCCTGTAGTCCCAGCTACTCAGGAGGCTGAGGCAGGAGAATTGCTTGAACCCAGGAGGCGGAGGTTGCGGTGAGCCGAGATCGCGCCATTGCACTCCAGCCTGGGTAACAAGAGCGAAACTCTGTCTCAAAAAAAAAAAAAAAAAAAATTATCTAGATGTGGTGGTGTGCACCTGTGGTCCCAGCTACTTGGGAGGCTGAGGCAGGAGGATTTCTTACAGGGATGAGCCTGTTGAAATTTATGAGAGTTCGGGAGGTAGAGGCTGCAGTGAGCTGAGATCACTGCCACTGCACTCCAGTCTGGGTGATAGAGCAAGATCCTGCCTCTGAGAAAAAAACAAAACAAAGCAAAAAACCAAGAGAAGACTCATTACTCTGCTGAAGATGTCTAGGAAAGGAATGTCAGGTGCTGCTAACATGGACATTTTCGTGTTGACTCACAAGTTCATGTGTTACGCCTGGGGAAAGGCTTTTTGATAAGGCCCGTGTGTTTAGGGTAGCTCATCCAGACTTAATTCATGCATGCAATGCTAGGAATTAAAGAAAGTGAATGTTTGTTCTTTAATGCGTAATTCTTCTCCTAGTCTTCTACCCAGCTTTCTTGGAAGAGAACTTTGGTCTTTCCAGATTTTTGCTGGCTTTGTGTTCTTTCACGTCCTTTGCTTGATTTAGAGTTAGGCAGATGTCTTCATTCCTAATAGCTTCCTGATGGAATAGAATAGAAATACTTGGTTTCACTAAGTATTCTGTTTAGTAATTACTCAAAAATTTGCTTGGACTTAAGTTTACTGGTAACAGTGATGCTGCAGTGATGTTGGAGATATTAGCTGTGATGAGGATTATTTTCCTTATTCTTACAGGGATGAGCCTATTGAGGTTTATAAGAAATGTAACTACTTCAGCTGTATGTTTCATATATATCTGAATACAAAGTGACCCCCTTTTTGCCCAGTAAGAAGATCCCTGCAAAACGTTTTAGGTCTACTTGAAAATATACATTTTTAGGACTATAAAAATATAGTTCAGGCCAGGAGCAGTGGCTCATGCCTGTAATCCCAGCACTTTGGGAGGCCGAAGCGGGCGGATCACGAGGTCAAGAGATCAAGACCATCCTGGCCAACATGGTGAAACTCTGTCTCTCCTAAAAATACAAAAATTAGCTGGGCGTAGTGGCATGCACCTGTAGTCCTGGCTACTCGGGAGGCTGAGGCAGGAGAATCGCTTCTACCCGGGAGGCGGAGGTTGTAGTGAGCTGAGATCATGCCACTGCACTCCAGCCTGGAGACAGAGTGAGACTCCGTCTCAAAATAAAAATAAAAACATAGTTCAAAGTCTACCTATAATACTTAATTTGTTAATATATCATTGACTTACATATATAAAATCCGTGTTGCTTTTTTGCAGTCTCATATTACGTCCCACACTTTTATTCAGACACTTCACATGTTCTTTCAACATTAGTGTGTTGATTATCATGAGAACACTTTGTTCCCTAACACAGTCCAGAGCACATGGTGGGGATATAGCATTTTTTTTTTAATTTTAAATTTTTTATAGCTTGTTATTTTGAAATAATTTCAGGCATACGGAAAAGTTGCAAGAATGGTGTAAGGAACAACCATAAACCCTTTACCCAGTGCACCAATTTTTAACATTTAGCCACAATTGTGTTAGTCCTTCTCTCTCTCTGTGGCTGTGTGAGTATGCACATCATAGATGTGCATAAACACACATACACGCTTTTTTCTGAGCCATTTGAGAATATGGTTGCATATACCATGCTTCTTTACTTCAGTAGTGAGTATTTTCTAAGCACAAAATGTATTCTTTTAAGTAACCACATCTGTTAGGTTGATGCAAGAGTCATTGCGATTTTAGCCATCACTTTAAATGGCAAAACCACAATTACTCTTGCACCAAACTAATAATAAATTTAACATTGCTACAATATTTAATCTGAACTATAGCCCATGTTCCAATTTTACCACTTGTACCAATAATGGCCTTATAAAGCATGTTGTTGTTCTCCAGTACAGAACCTCATCCTGCATTTAGTTGTCATGACTTTAGTCTCCTTTAATCTGGAATATTTCCCCAGCTTTTCTTTGTCTTTCATGACATTGATGTTTTTGAACAACGTAGGCTAGTTCCTTTATACAGTTTTCTTCAGCATGGGTTTATCTGGTGTTTCTTATGATTAGACTTGGATTATGCATCCCTGTTCAAATCCTACATAAGTGTTCTTCTTTGGGGCCACATCTGGACACATGTGGTGTTGATCTGTCCCTCAGAGGTGATGCAAATTTTGATCACCCAGTCAAGGTATTGTCTTGTTTCTCCACTATATGGTCGCTATTTTCCCCTTGTAACTAATTAGCAATCCGAAGGTAACACCTTAAGGTCATGTAAATACCATTCTCCTTATCACACTTTACCTCCATACATTTAGCATCCATTAACCATCCTTGCCTGAGCTGATCTTTACTACGATGGTTGCAAAATGGTGACTTCTCAGTTCCACTAATCCCTCCACACTTAACAGTTGCCATTCAGTGTACTTACGCAAGGAAGAGTCATTCCTGCTCCTCTTTTTTCCCCCCTACCTCCCTTCCTGCTATCTCCATCCATCCATCCGTCCATCCATCCATTATCCATCTTTCCATTGTCAGTATGGATTTATGGGTTCCTATTTTATTCAAGAGGCTATAATTTATCACTGTCCTTATTTATCTTGATGCTCAAGTTGTCCAAGATACATTGCTTTGGAAATTTTGTGTTGTTTGATTGCTGGAATGTTTTCCCTTATCCATAAGAATACACTAAGATGGTTTGTATTTTCATTTGTCCTTGATGCCCCAGTGGAAATACTTACTGTACTGCTTTTTAAATTTACTAAAGGACATCTAATACTTGCAATCGGCAGTCATGCCATACCATTAATAATTATTAAATGTTTGCTAATTATCTTTATGTTTAAAAACAATTTTTAAACAATATTTGCTATGTGATCTCTATAAGCATCTAGAAGTAACATTGGTTGAAGTTCTTTGCAGGCTGACTAATGCCTTCTTATTGTAATAGTACTTTGTTGTTTCAAGTAATTTGCTCAGCACTGAGTAAAATCAGATACTTGGTCAGAACACGACTGTGTGGCACCTCCCTTGAGGTGACATACTAATCTTGAGGGACATACTTCTTAGAGGTTACATCTGGGTGTTGACAGTCACTTCCACTCTGCATCTCTGGTGTCTCTGAGGTCTCCTTGTCTGCTTTTCAGATCTTGAGTTCTGCCAAAGTAACTTAGGGGTTTGGAAGTAGGTCAGAACCCCTGATGTCTGTGCATAGAGTCACAGAGCAGCTGTGTGGGAAGCATGATGTCATTGCAACAGATGGGAATGGTCACAAGCTCTTGGAGGAGCCTTTCTGCGTTCTCTCCTTAATCATCTTACTTCTGCCTGGGAAGAGAGTGGAAACTTCAACTGGGGCTTGATGATGGGAACGTGGATTAATTTCCCCAGGGAACCTCTACTTTCCTTGTATTTTAAGACCCACTGGTTGTAGTAATAGTGGGAAACAGTCTTCTTTAGTCCCTGGGGGAAATGCCTGGGTTGGTTTCATTTGAGCCTGTGAGATCAAATTTCTGTCCATTCTAGCTGGTGTGGAGAATATATTACTCCTAAAACAGTTAAGGGTAAATGAGCATTATGAATTATGGGTTGTGGTTTTTCCAGCTCATGGCGTGTAGCATACAGTGGAATGTATAGATGCTTTATGGGAAATATTACCTTGCAGGTCACTTTGGAACTTCTTGGGTGAAGCACTACTGTACATATCAACGGGATTCCAAACAAATCACCATGGTACCATTTGACCAAAAGTCAGGAGGAAAAGGGGTGAGTTCATTTTTAAAGTTTTATGCTTACCTTGCTTGGCTAACATATAATGATTATAATGCACATAGAGAGTAACAGCTCCAGTGTTCCATTTATGTTTCATTATAAAATTAAAATTAATAATTTTAAACATTTTTATACAGTAGTTCCAGGAAGCCTAGGAGGCTGAAGAATCACTAAAACAAGATGATTACTCTTAGCTCTAAGTTATTTTAGGAACTACAATTAAGAAATATTTTTATATTTCACATATATACAATATCAGGTGTGTCAAATATTTTTATATGCTAAAAATTATTGGATGACCTCATCCTGTGAAACTGATTCAGTGCCATTCCCACTTGATACCTGGAGAGCTGCCAGCGGCAGTGTAGATGTCGTGGTTCCCTATTGCCGTATAACAGGTCACCCCAAAACCTAGCAACATTTAAAACAACAGCAATCATTTTAGTATTTCTCACCATTTCTGTGGGTCAAGAATTCAGGGGGCATTTGGATGGGTGGTTCAGGCTTGGGGTTTCTCATAAGGTACTAAGCAGATGGTAGCTAGGGCTGGAACAAGGAGGGTCTGGACAGCTCAAGCTGGTCAGATACAGCTGTCTTCTTCTCTCCCGTCTCCTTTTCTTCCCTTTTCCCTCTTTCTCTGCATACTCCCAGGGCCTCGGCACCTGGTCTCTCTCTATTAGCAGGTTTGAGCTTCCTCACAGTATGGTGGTCTCAGGGCAGTGAAAGGTTTTAGGAGTCAATGTTCTAAAAACTAAAGTGAGACTGCATTGCCTTTTCATGACTTAACCTCAGAAGTCATAGAGCCTTACTTTTCCCTATTTCTTGGTTAATATGACCACAGAAGCCCTCCCAGTTTCAATGGGGAAAGAGGTAGACCCTGGCTCTCCATGGGAGGGGTATCAAGGTCTCATTGTATGAAGAGCCTGTGGCATGGAAGATGATGTTGGCTATCTTTGGAAGAGACAGTTGGGCACATATGGCTCCCCGGTGTCCCTGCTGTTGGGCAGCTTCTTGAATGCTCCTAGTTCTTCCTTCCTCCCAGCTGTTGTGTCTCGCCTCCTGCTGGTCCATCTCCTCAGAGTGCTCCCATAGGCCACATGCGTTTCTGTGGAGGTAATCTTTTTGCTTTGCTCCTAATACTTTATTTTCTTCCTCTGATATTTTGCATTTCATTATGATAGGCCTAGCTTTGATTTTTTTCTTTTTTCATCTATTGCTTGGGAGTTTTTGGCTTTCCAGGATTTGAGATTTGGTCTCTTCCAATAACTCTGGAAAATTCTCACCAGTTATCACTTTGAATTTTGCCTCCTCCTCATTCTGTTATTTCCTTCTGGAGATATTTAAAGGTTTTCATAAAAATATTTACATGGTTCATCTCTTTGAGTCTCTGGACTATATTCTGAATAATTTCTCTTACTCTGTCTTAAGCTTAAGTAGTTTTTCATTTGTGTTTAATCTGTTGATAAATTAGACCAAGCATTCCACCTCGGTCCTCTCTGAAGTGCATTTTTATGCAACATGTTGAGTTTGTGTGTGTGTGTGTGTGTGTGGTGGGGGGAGCATTATATGGTGGGGGTTAGGAACACTGGCTTTGCTCTCACTGTGCCTGGGTCAGTGCTATTAGGTGCTGTTGTCATTACTGTTAGGTACTCAACCACGTTGTGCCCCATGTTTTCTTCTGCTTCCAGTTTTTCTTCCTGGCTTTCTTTTACTTAAGCCACAATAGAGAAGTTTATCAGCATCTCTGTTCCTTCCCTGAATCAAAGCAATAACAAAGCCCTTTTAATGTTTCTTGGCAGGGACAGGATTGATTTATAAATAATCTCAGGCAAACAGATGTTAAAATGTCATAAGGGAGAAATTACAGTTAGAAGGAATATTAAAAACCTATGTTACTAAGTGTCCCCTAGTTTTCATGAGAGTTGGGCCTGCTTTCCTTGGATTGAGCCTTAATCCCTTCCCAATTCTTAGTCCTTCTGGAAATCAACTTCACTGAAGTGTTCTCTCACACAGTCTATTTACGGGCTTTTTATCTTGGGCTTTCTCAGACCTTTAATGAAGAACTGTTTTGTATTTCCTCTATTCCTTTCTTATCACACTTGAAAGTGAAGGGTAGAAACCAATTAGAGTGCATGTTTGGTTCTCAAACTTTGGAGAGAGAATAGAAAGCATGTCATTGGGTAGTTAAGAGGTTTATGTGGATTTGTATATATAAATTTTTTGGAACAAATCCTGACACATAATGACTGCAATATTAGAACCTTGTTATTATAAGAATTAATTTTCCTAGTAATCCCTTACATTTATATTATGTTTTATATTTTTCTACATCCTTTTATTATTCCATATTATCCTGTTTGATCCAATTTTTCTCCTTTTACAAAGGAGGATATTGAGATTAGGAGAGATAATATGATTTCTAAGTCATTTAACTAACAAGTTACAGAGCTGCTGCTCACACCCTCTTTCCACAGTCTGAATCTCCTGATTCTGAAGTCATTATACTTTCCATGACATCACTGTTTCCTCAGTGTTAGGGTGAGGGAAATATGAGGACTGACTGTCTACTGGTGATGTCTTTTTGATTGTGCAGAGGAATCATGTGATGTTGTTGTATACATTTAAAAAAAATAGAGACTGAGTCTCACTATGTTGCCCAGGCTGGTCTCAGATACCTGGTCACCTCAGCCTTCAAAGTACTGGGATTACAGGTGTGATCTACCATGTCTGGCCTGTATACATATTTGAACAAAGCTCACCTAGGAGCTAGAGGTATATAGAACATAGATAAATAGATAAAATAAATATCTTTTAACCTAGATAATTGGGTGTTTTCCTAATATGCTTTGTCTCCACCTGTCATGTCTCCTCACTGTCCCTTTTATTTGGATCATTTTGCTTTCAAAGTACTCACTGAACAGACCTGGCTTCAGGTCTGGACTTGTGAGCAGATTTGCCACATCCTCCTGGAGACCAGAATCCATATGTGATAAAGAATTTCCCTGCATTCTATGCTCTGAGCTGGGGCACCTCTGCAGGTCTGGAGCAGCCCAAAACTAATCCTGTCCCTTCTTTTGATTCAAACCCTTCTTTATTTTCCTGCTGTTGTCAGGACACAAATGAGAATCCTGCATGGTCTAGCTGCTGCCCCTCCTCAAACCTTTCTTCTGTCCATTTTCCCTACTCTGGGCTTCTAGTCAACTGGCTGCCCTCCTGTTTCTCCAAGCCTCAGTAGACCCTGACCCCAGGGCCTGTCCACCTGCTCCATTCCCTCCTCCTTACTTCCTTATTTTATCTATGATTTCTTTTAGTTTCAGCTCTAGGAAGCTTTTCCTAACCTTTCTGACCAGGTCAGATCTCCTTAACTTAGGATTCTGTAGTACAACCTGATTCCTTTTTTAAAAATAGAATTTGTTGTGGTTATAACTTTTCATTTATTTGTTTAAGGGATGTCCATGTTCCCCACTTTTTAAAGCAATCAGAACAGACCATCTTCATAGATTTTTGCTTATATGGTATGGTCCTCCTTGGACCAGAATCTTAATCATCTTCTTTCTGCATGTATTTGATGGTCCTTTATGTTTCCATGTTCCCTACCATTTCTCTGGGACACCTCATGTAAGTTTTCCAAGTTGAAGCTGATCCATAGCCTTTAAATTGGATGTATAGTCAGGCATCGGCAAAGTTAGAATCTCTTACGTTCTGGTGTTTGCACTCAGATATTTTACAGATCAGAGAAAGAGCAGTTCTGTCTGAGAAATTAATGTTTGCTATTCAGTGGAAGACAATAGATGTAAGGCCTGTGAATATAAACTGTCTCCTCCTAGGTCTTCTGTGTTTTGTTTGCTATTCTGATATTAGTGGGTGGTTAAGTTTTACCTTATGTAGCCACACTTTCTGTGATTTCAACAAACTAGGCAAGCTTGCTAATTTCCCCCCTTAGTTTAGATAAAAAAAAGATTGACAGAGGCAGGAGAAACAGAAACCCTAACAAATTCCTAAGGACAGCAAGAAGAAACACAGCAACTTCTGTGTTTCTAGGCAATAAACTAGTGCTGTGAGATGAAATCGTTACATTGAATTGGATGATGGAATACTACTCAGCAATAAAAAGAAATAAGCTCGTGATATGCACAACAGTACGGATGAATAGCAAAGCAATTATGTTGAGTGAAAGAAGCCAGACAAAAAGAGCACATACGGTATAGTTCCATTTATATAAAATTATAGAATATGCAAACTGTAGGGGCAGAAAGCAGATTCAGCAATTGCTTGGGGATGTACTGGGAGGAGGGATGGATTGCCAGGGGATACAAGGAAACTTTTGGGGGTGATGGAATTGTTTGCTGGCTTGGTTGTTGTGATGTTGTTATGGGTGTATGTGACATCAAAATCTACAAATTGTACAGTTCAACATGTACAGCTTATATATTAATTATATGTCCGTAAAGTTGTTAAAATGTATTTATTAGCAGCTATTCTGTTCTAGGATCCAGTTGGGCTCAGGAGACAAGAGTAGGCAAAAACTGAGCTAGTCTCTGTTCTCTGGGGGCTTGTGGTCTAAGACATTATTGTATTTATCGCCTATATCAATGCACAGTTTCAGCTTTGGTCAGTGCTATGACAGAGGGAGAGGTATCTGGTGCTATGTGAGCACGTACTGGGGATATTTGTCCTGGTCCAGGAAGGTTTTCTTGAAGAAGTAATGATCGACCCAAGATCATAGAAGCCCAGAGTTGGGAGTAGACCATCTTCTTCTACACCTATCAAACCTGCAAATTAAGACAATGTCAGCACTCGTTTATCTACCATGGACTGATGCGGTGCCATCGTGATCCACCTGTACAGAAGATGTTTGGTTCCAGGTCTGACATGGTGTACAAGTGTAAGCTGCATGAGACGTTTTCCTGGAAGGGTTTATAATCATCCTTTCTCCACCTGTGGTCATGAATGCTCAGATCTGAGAAGACGAAATGATTGCTCCTGTTTACATGTCATGCGTGTCCTGGAGAGGAGTAGAGCTCCCATTCTAGCCTCATCTTGATGGTCTGTGTGTTCCCACTAGGGAGAAGATGAATCAGTTACCCTCAAATCCTGCACACGGCGGAAAACAGACTCCATTGAGAAGAGGTTTTGCTTTGATGTGGAAGCAGTAGACAGGTGAGTAGCTGGCATGCTTTTCTCAGGAGCAAGTAGAGCTGATGTTGCATTTCTTACTTTTTCTTTTCAGTCAAAGCTTTTCTGCTTTTTTTCCCTTCTCCCCCTCCCTCCTTCCTTTCCTTCTCCATCCCGTCATCTACGTCCAGGATGCTGGATCCAGCACCCTGGATTGCTAATTTGCAAGAATCATTAGAGCCTTCCAGTCTGTTGGGTGCAGCACTGCATCACGGGCTTGGTTTTGTTTTACTTTAATGTTAATGCTTTCATGCTCAGAAATGTGTGTTAGGTCTCCAGGAGGTTGAGCAGATGTTTAAAGAAAACTATTTAGCATGATTGTATCAGCTATCTGAATTTTTTTTCTTTTAACTTAAAAAGTTAGTATAATGATTCGAAAGGAATTGGAATGGAAGACATTTTTCTCAAATAAAAAAACAGCTTTTAGTTACATTTCACCTACTGATGTGTGTGCATGCCCAGGAAAGACACCAAATCACTTGCAAAATCACAATTTTTTGGAGAGAGAGCCGTGTGTTGTATTCCTCAAGATTTATAGAGTCTCTCATTAAGTTGTACCATTTCGTGGTGTTAAGCTAGTTTGACAACATTCCAATTCTTTAAGACACTTTACTTGGCAACAGGTTAATTCTTTCAATGAAACCCACGTGTTAAGCTTATTTGAGCTGCCTGTTGAAGATCAGTAATGCTAGCACCAAGATCCTTAAATTTCAGCATGATACACTCCATATAATGCTGTTTAATCTCTCCCCCTTACTAAAAAAATGCTATATCATTTTGTCAAGCCAGTACTTACCTCTCCCTGGGAAGGTCACCTGTGGCCACCTTGCCCTGGCTCTGTGGCATCCTGAGACTGAGTACTGCCTGGGGTATGCTCCTTGTGGGCTGACAGGTGCACAGGCAGATGTGCACTGCCTTCTTGTGGCAGGTGTCTACTCTGCACTGGAGGCTGTTAGGGCTCCCATGGAGAAAGCATGCTCTGTTAGCCTGTATCAGAAGTTCATGGAAAATAATTATATGTCTCAAGTAATTTAGTTATTAAACCTCTGGCTTTCAAGCCAGACAACCATGGTTCAAATTTTGACTTTGCTACTGAGTAGCCATGTGACTTTGAGCAAGTTACTTAATCTTTCAGAACGTTGATTTTCTCGTCTGGAAAATGAAGTTCCCAGGATGGTTATAAGGATTCAAGGAAATAATGCATGTAAAATACTTGGCAGAGCAGGAGATAATAAGTGCTCAACAAGTATTAGCTCTTCTTCTTTTTTGCGAACTAGCTTGTCCTGCATGCTTATCAGACTTGAGATTTCACTTCTAAACCCAGAAAAGTACATATAATCTGTAAAGAAAAGAAAGTGTCCTGACCCTTTACTGTGTATAGAGGTGTGAGAGGGGAAGGTAAAGAAGAATAGCATGGGTGCCGGGTTGGGGGTAGGTTGAATTAGGGTAGCAAAGGGGAATTGCAAACAGCCTTCCCCAAACCAAATTTGGTTATTATTGGTTTTAAACAAATCCTAAACCTTGGTGCTTTAAGCATCTCTCTTCTCTTTTCTAAGCATGTGATTTAAGGGAATTCATATTACTGGCATCCTTGAAGGAGGTTCAGCGGATCTATTTGCATGGAAGTGCAGCCAGCTGTGATGCCCATCAAATGTACACTTCCTAGAGATAACCGTCTGCTGCAGAGCTGCTTCCAAGAGGGCATGCCTTGTGTTGCAGCTCTCTGTCAGATTTAAAACAAGCCCACACTTAGTTTATGAAGCTGAATTATTTTTGTGTTTTCTTCTTCAGAAGTTTCCCAAGAAGTTGTGGAGAGTGGATGATCAAAGCTCACTTTGATCCATCTCATTTCTACCCTTGCCAACACTTCTAGCACCTTCCCCCCTTTATAACTCCCACAACAGCTGTGCCTGTCCCAATCATAAGGCAAGAGTGGATGTTTCACGTTCAGCATATGGAGTGGGCTTGTAAGTCAATCGCTCCTGAGTTTCTGTCCCTGGTTCCCTCTGCATGGCATGAAGGGGTTTTGGTCATGGTTCAGATGAGCCTGCTGAATCTCCTTTTTTTTTTTTTTGAGACTGAGTTTCGCTCTGTTGCCCAGCAGGCTGGAGTGCGCTGGCAACACCTCGGCTCACTGCAACCTCCGCCTCCTGGGTTCAGGTGATTCTCCAGCCACAGCCTCCAGTAGCTGGGACTACAGGCATGTGCCACCTGGCTAATTTTTTGTATTTTTAGTAGAGATGGGAGTTCACCATGTTGGCCAGGCTGGTCTTGAACTCCTGACCTCAAGTGATCCACCCACCATGGCCTTCCAAAGTGCTGGGATTACAGGCATGAGCCACCGCGCCTGGCCTGAATCTCTTCAGGAGGTGAGTAGACTGTCCTAGGAAACACTTGTGTGACTTCATTGAGACACATTACCTGAATGAGCAGGTGAAATCCATCAAAGAATTGGGTGACCATGTGACCAACTTGCGCAAGATGGGAGCACCCCAATCTGGCTTGGCAGAATACCTCTTTGACAAGCACACCCTGGGAGACAGTGATAATGAAAGCTAAGCCTTAGGCTAATTTCCCCATAGCCACGGGGTGACTTCCCTGGTCACCAAGGCAGTGCATGCATATTGGGGTTTCCTTTACCTTTTCTATAAGTTGTACCAAAACATCCACTTAAGTTCTTTGTACCATTCCTTCAAATAAAGAAATTTGGTATCCAAAAAAAAACAAAAAAACAAAAAAAGTTTTCTATATAGCTCAGAAAGATTAGGTCACAGTACAGCAGGATTTCCTCCTTTCTCCTTTTTTGACCCCAGTGTCTTTCCTTTTTTTCCCTTAATGTTTAGAAGGGGGCCTAGGTAGAGAGGGAAAAAGCATTTGCATCCGCTGGATAGCTGCATCCCTGGGAAAGGATTCTGCTCAGAATCCTTTTCTCTCGAAGACTCCTGTACTTTCCTTTTTCACCAGAGTCCTTTAGTGAGGAAGTGATTACTGCTGGATGCCCTGCTGTCCTGTCTTCCACAAGTTCCCCAGCTCCACCTGCTGGACCAGAGAGGCAGAGGGTCAAAATGCAAGTTTAGCACCTAGTAAATGTGGAAGTGAAAGAGGGGATGGTTATATTTAACCACATAAGGGTTCGAGGTACTCCCAGAGTATGTTAACTGGAGAATACATAAACTAGTCACTAGTAGTGACTAGTAATATTTTATTCTATCAAGATACAAATACATGTTAAAGTGTGAATTATGTGACATAGAATATGGGATGTTGCAGATTTTTAAGACTGAATTTATTTATTCTTTATACTTAATGCTGACATATCATGTTGTTTTGTATCAAAAGCTTTAGCCTTTACGGCGTGATAACCTAGGAGGTCAATATTGTGAGTCGATTACCCGACATCAACGTATCTTACTGTGGCAAAAATCACGTGCAATCAGTTACAGGTTCCTGGTGCCTGCCCCAGACCCACACAGTTTGACTTTCTGGGATTGAGATAGTAGAATCCACATTTTCAAGCTTTTTAGTTGTCCTTGATTCTTACTAATACTTGGTATGTTAAATACAGTGTGTTTCACAATACAGTTTCATCAGAGCACATGAAAACATTTTCCTAATTTGAAAAATCACGACAAGCAGCTGTAGCAAAACAAAACAAACAAGCAAAAACTTCAAGCTTTTTTACTAAGGAGCTGAGTGCTAACCTGTGTGGAGGAGGAGAAGGTAACTACTGGGAAAGGTAATTTCTAGTCTCTGAAGTAGATTACTTGACCAGACAAAAGACAAAAAACGCCACCACATAAAACTCCTGCCTTTTTTTTTTTTTTTTTGAGACAGAGTTTTGCTCTTGTTACCCAGGCTGGAGTGCAATGGCACGATCTCAGCTCACTGCAACCTCCGCCTCCTGGGTTCAGGCAATTCTCCTGCCTCAGCCTCCTAAGTAACTGGGATTACAGGCACGCGCCACCATGCCCAGCTGATTTTTTGTATTTTTAGTAGAGATGGGGTTTCACCATGTTGACCAGGATGGTCTCGATCTCTTGACCTCGTGATCCACCTGCCTCGGCCTCCCAAAGTGCTGGGATTACAGGCTTGAGCCACCGCGCCCGGCCTAAAACTCCTGCCTTTTTAAAGGATGTGGAAATGGAGAGAGGCAACTAGTAGTATCAGAGCATTTCCTGTAGGCTGAACACTTTCATCCTTATTTTATGTCACCCTCACTGCAACCCAGGGCGGTGGGTCCTCTCTTATTCTCATGCTGCTGAGGAATCTACAGTTTAGAGGGGTGAGGTTGAGGTAGGGTTTGAACTGAGGTTCACAGGAGCCTGTTCCAAGGCATATTGGTGCCTCAAAACTTGGGATATTTTGTTGTTGTTGAGATGGAGTCTTGCTCTGTTGCCCAGGCTGGAAGGCAATGGCGTGATCTCGGCTCACTGCAACCTCCGCCTCCTGGGTTCAAGTGATTCTCCTGCCTCAGCCTCCCGAGTAGCTGGGATTACAGGCGCCCACCACCATGCCCAGTTAATTTTGTATTTTTAGTAGAGGTGAGGTTTCGCCATGTTGGCCAGGCTGGTCTTGAACTACTGACCTCAGGTGATCCACCTGCCTTGGTTTCTCAAAGTGCTGGGATTGCAGGCGTGAGCCACCATATTTGGCCAAAACTTTGGATATTTTAGAAACATTTTCCAGTAATGAGCTCAGAGCTGTTGGTGGTTACATTTCAGAGACACCACAGTGTCCAGTTTTCAGGCTGTGAAATCTAGGAAGTGCTGTTCTCACCCTATCAGTTGCATTTGGCATTATAAATGAATGGTACAATGAACTGAAGCAGCAAACTCACCTCTCTTCTTACATCTACTCCTCTGTGACCTTCAGAAAGTCCTCATGTGACTAAATTAAAAGAGGCAATACAGATAGAGCATAGTGACAGGCACATGGCACTCAGTAGGTGTTCCATGAATGGTTTTTTGGTTTCTGTACACCCCTTC